AGGGAAAGAAAATATTTCAGGCAAGAAGCATTTCAGACATTTCAGGCGATTGGAGAAATTGAAAAAGGCCATCCTCTGTAACTACAGCAAAGAGGTAGGACAGAGATTAAGTGGGATGGGCTAGAATCCACAAGGTTTATTGAACAGTTACGGCAAAAAGAAGTTTGGGAAGCCTTTCAGGTTTTGATTTAAGTAAAAAGTGGTATCATTCATTGACATGAGTAACATCAAACTAAGAAACAGTGTGGGACAGAAGACAATGAGTTTGTCATACACAGAAGATTCCTGGATAGACAGAGGCCCCTAATTCCAAAAATATGTTTGGACTAGAAAATTCTTCTGGGGAGTCATCCACATAGAGGTGATATCTGATACCATGCAAGTGGGTGCAGTTAAGTCTGCGAGATTAAAAAGAGACATAGAGAGGACTGATGATGGAATCCTGGGAAAGTCCAATTTCTAAAGGGCAAGAAGAAAGCCCTAAGGAAAAAAATCTGAGTAGGAACACTCAGAAAAGCAACCAAGGTCAAATGACACAGAGACATCATTCAAGACAAAAGCTAAAAACTGTTGTTCTTTTTGCAACCACAGGTATGGGTAACAGCCATACTCTAATTTTTGCATATATGAATAAAACTAGAATTTCTTCTATAAGAAATTAACAATATTGTGCAAAGATAACAAATGACTGATACTGATTGTTGTGCTATTCAAAGGAAAGGTACTTTTCCATTTTAGTAATATTACAATATAATGGGCAAAAATTTTTTTAAACTATTAAATCAGGGTCCATAAACATGTGTAAGAGAGGGAAAGTTCACTTCAGATCATAGTGCTAATTAGTTACACTCTTAAAAGTGTTTATCTCCAACGTAAAAAAATGGTTTACTTATTAAGATGAAGATACTGAGTTGGGTGAATACTTTAAAAACAGTATTCATCCACATGACTATAACTAGCTGTTTTGAGCTTATACCTAAATTAACAGCAGGTTAATCTGAAAAGCACTTTGATGGATATTTATATAAGAGATTTATGTTTGCCAGTTGCTACACTGTCATTATAATACAGAAGGATGGGTACACAGTTCATGCCTGAGAAATGTCATTTAGGTCATTAGCCATGCCTGGCTAGACATATGAAGTCAGGGAGTTTCAATGCAAAGATCCCCTTCTACCTACTGTAGAAGAGAGCAAGAGAGTAGTAGACCAAAGAGAATAGTCCAATAGGCCATGTCCCATTTAAATAATATCACGGTCACTTTTTGTTCTGTTACAATCTGGAGGGCTAGGCCCAAACTTTATAATTATTCCCATTTTGGCAACAAACATATGGTTTCATACTTAGTGACAATGCTAATAGTAGCTCTTGTTTATTAACTCCACATTATGTTCCAGGGTTTCATGCTAAGCACTTTTCATAGGTCACCTCATTTAATCTTCACAGTTGTTACTATACTGAGTTCGTACATGGTACAATCAAGGCTTAGAGAAGTTAAGTTGTTCAAGGTCACAGAATTTGTAGGAGGCACAGCTAGGATTGAAACCTAGGCAGCAATGTGATGCTAGAAGCCTAACTCTTAAAATCTGCTGTTATCAAAAGCAGAGCTTCATTTGAAAGAACACTCTCAAAGTACTACAGATTAGACAGCTTAACTCTTAGAAAACAGAGAAACTTGTGGGGGTTGGGAAAAGTTGGGCTCCTCTTTAGAATCCAAATAAAAGAAACCATAATATCTAATTTTTATTATTCCCAATTCTAGATCAGTTACATAAACACTTTCACTGTAGTAAATTGTGACTGTAAGAAAAAGAAGCATTTAGAGGAGAAAGAAATTATTGTGCAATTGCCTAAGAAATTGCTAGGAAGCTTTCACCTCCTATTATGAGGCTCTGCAGATAGCACAGGAAATAGACTGAATGTTTAAAAACAGGCTCCAAATTACATATTTGTAAAACTAGCCTGTCTTTCACCACTATTATTTATCTAATAAGTGCCACCACATAAAATTTTTTAAATTTTTTTCATATTTCTGTAATACATTACACTTTAAAGGTAAATCACATAATCTGTTTGGAGTGAAATGCAAGTACTTCCTCTTGCTGGTTCAACCAAACTATGCCCACTTCCTGTACCAGTGAAACCCTTGCCTACATCAGGAGGCTCCAAGAAAAAGTAATAGAAATAATATTTTGAAATTATAATAAGCCTAACTCTTCCCTCTTGGTCCACAGGAACTGGTACTGTGCATGCTCCTAAATGCAAGGAAAAACGAATGCTCTTTTGGTGATCTTTACACCCAGTAGGAAAGAAAAATCTCGTGGCCCTTTTTCTTTGTCTTTCCCCCAGCCAACTCCGACCATGTTTGAGGATAAACTATCACAATCTACAGCTTCTCCTTAGTAAAAATCATTTATTCTTCATGAACATCAACTATGCATTTTTCATATTTTTGCTTTATTTTCAGGTAAGTTATATGCACTGGAGTGTCAGTCCACTCACATCAGTGCGTGGAAGCAGAAAAGAAAAAAAAGGTTTCTAACTTATCTTTACTCTAAATAAAATACTTACAAAGCATCCAAAACATCCTTAACCTTTTCACACAGCCTTTCTCACATTTACCTCCTCTGCCCTCCAAAACCTTAGGATTAAATAAAGATATCTGCTACTACTATTATTCCTTACTTTACAGATGGAAATTCTGAGACACAAAAATATTAAATAAATTGACTCACATCTCTCAGTCAGAAGGACATGCAAAACTCAAATCCACATGTTGTAGCTCCAAATACAGCATCTTTCATCCTTTACAGATGAAAATATGTTTTACAAACAAATCTAAAATAGTCACTTAAGTCCACAAGTTGCATCAAGATTTTATTCATTCTGGCATTCACTGGCCCAAGGAAGAGACAAGACAAAACACCCAGATTATGTCAAAAATGTAAGGGAGAAAACACAGTAAAAGGACAGCAATACTCACTGGCTTTAACCTGAAATTGCTTATGTAATATGTAACCGTAAAATCAAATGACAGATGCTGGGTTTTTAAACAACCATACTATAATAAAATCTCTAAGGGTACGATATCCTCCAATGGGAAACACTACCCTGGTTCCAACTATGTTAGGGTTACACAGAAGAGAATGCATCCAGTTTTTTTGAAAGCCACTGTAGAAGCAGAATCTAGTTGTGAGAATACATTTAACTTTTGGAGATAGGCAAAAACAGCTACATAAAAAAGTTTATGTACCCTACCACTTAGAAGAGAGGGACTATATGAGTGGAAAATACTTGTATCATAGAAATCATTTATTGAGTATATGCTATGTGCTAGACTGACTAAACCCTTCATGTGTATTCTCTCATTTATAATCACAACAACCCCATCAACATTATTACCCTAGGTTTACAGATGAGGAAATAAAGTTCAAAGAGGTCAATTATCTTGCCCAAGGTCAAACAGTGGCAGAACTAGGATTCAAACTCGGATCTTCCAGATTCCAAAAGCACTGTAAAGAGGTACAAGCACTGGATGGTAGGTGGGCATGCACAATCCTTGCTAAAAAACCATCAGTTTGGGAATTCTGAGTCTTTAATCCATTCAGTCTACGTGGTGAATAAATGACATAACAACATACTGCACTTTATCATATATATGGAAGATACTGCTCCCAAAAGAGACTACCATCTCTTAAAATGTCTAATAAAATGGCTTTAATAATCATTCCAAATAAGAATTACAACGACTTTTAAGTAGGGACAGCATTATCAACATTAAGTGTGTACTGCTTTGGAAGAAACGAAGAGTCATTTAGATGAATAAGTTCCGGGATACTTGTTAAAAATTAGAAATTATTGCTTAAGAAAAAGTTTTTATTTACAACCAGAAGTTTGAGCTCCTGAATCCCTCAAGTGCACTCAGGAAAATGTATCACATTAATCAACCTACCAAGTGCATACCAAGGCCTACTAGTGCGATAAGAAAAGACTATGCAATAAGAAAGACTATGGGGACTGTCTTAGAAACTTCCTCGTCCATCTACAAGGAGTTAGCAGGTTGTTTCCGACTAAGAACACAGTCTGTCTTTACTGGGACAACCAAAATCTTCCTGTGCTATTTTTTAGAGTTTGTGCGAGCTGTCCTACAAAGGAAGTCTGCTCTTTGAGAAATAATTAGATCATTTTCCCAGCACCCCTTTCACTTTCTTTTAAGCACCTCATGGTTATGGCTAGTTTAGCATTAGTACTGCTATTCGTGAGTTTGTCTTCCTTATATTGAATTCAGAATTCTGCCTGGCTCCTTGCTCCCTCCCCCTTCTCTCCCTTCTTGCCTCTTCAACCCGAAGTGGAAACTGCAGACTGAAACTCCCCGATGGTTCCAGCACCAGGAACTGGGCATGCTCAGAAGGCCAGGCAGGCTTTGGTTGCAACTGACAGTTCCCCGCCCCGATTTGCCGCTGCCCCCTTCCCCCACTCCAAGAGATACTGAAATGTTTATCTGAAAGATACGAGGCCTCTTTTCCCGAGAATGACCCCGTTTCAATTTCCTTTCGCAGGGTCTTTTAGTCTTGCGAAACCCCACCACAAGCCTGAGAAGACCGCATTGTTTTCAGCACCGGGGACAGCGCCGAGTTTCCATTACCGTCCACCCTCCCCCACCTTCGCGTCCCCCCCCCCCCCCCTCCCGCCCCAACCTCAGCCCCCACCCCCGCACCAGCACAGTGCCAAGGTCTCCCAGCAGCCGCAAGCGCCGCAGCTGCGATAGCTCCCAGCCGGAGGCCGGGCCGGAATGCCGGGCCGGCTGCTACTTACACTGCTCCGCTTTGGTGGACATGGTGCTGTCCAGATGGAAAGGCTTTGCCCCAAAATCTGTGTCCTGTGAGCTCCCTCGCTCCGCCAGCGATGTTGCGAGGAAAAGAGCGCATACCCCCCACCCCCCACCCCCTCGCTTTCCCCCTCCCTTAGGCCCGTGTCGCTACCATTCGGACAAAACGCACATCAAATTGCAGAATTCGGTCCCGGAAGGTTAGGAAATCGCCCCCGGAGAAATGGGTGGGATTTAATAGGCGGCCAAAGGCTTCCTGTCCGTCCCCTCCTGGAGCTGCCCGAGTTGATGTGGGCGGGGAGACCGAAAGGAGAGAGCAAGCTGCGGCTCCTGGTGAAATGGGAAAATGGGCTCGACCGGGGGAGGAGTATTTCCATTCATAAGGCGCACGGAGAGGACGGGTGTTTCCCAGAGAAAAGCCTCTTAAAGTGTCGGAGTCCCCGACCATTTGGATCTCCCATTGGCGTTCTCCCGGCCTGTAAATCCTGCTCCCGGAGCAGCCCCCAGAGCCTCAACAGGGTGACCCGAGAGGGACACAGGTGCGTCCCACGCTTCGCCTCAACCTCCGGGTGGAAGGAGAAGGAGGCGGATCCGGGGTGGGCTGGAGAGAACCGGGGCCGGAGGGCGGCGAGGACGCTCCCGAGGACCGCGAGGAAGGAAATGCAGAAGTAGCCCTCAGCATGGCTTCCCGGCGCGCTGCGGTCCATGCCCTCTGCCTCCCCTCGCGGATGGCCTCTCCTGCGGATGATTAGGGATGGGAGGTCCCACTGCCGGGGGGGCGGGGGGGGTGTACTAGAGAAAAGAGGAGATGTCCATGGATGGTGAACTGTAAGGGCCGGGAAAAGGAAGATGAGGGACCGGAGACAGGAAGAACCGAGGTGTGCTCCTCTGCAACCGTCCAGTCTGGACACCAGCACGTTAGGAAGCCCCTCTGTTGGGAAACCGAAGCCAACAGAAATGGAAGGCAATTAGAAAAGAGCATCACGCATAGTAATAGGAAGATGCCTAAAGAGTTCTTTACAAAGCAGAGAGCCATTCCGAGCCTAGACTTGGAATCAAGAAAGAATCAAATTCGAGACCCATTTCTAACACTCTCCAAGAACTAATCTTTTAATCTCCCTAAACCTCAGTTTCTTTGTCTGTGAAATAGGAACAATAAAGCCTGCCCTGTCGCACAGACAGTTATTGGGCAGGTCAAATATATAATGGATGTGAAAGTCCTTTTAACATTAAGGTACTGTACAACTGCCAACCATTATGACCGTTCTTCATTCAGTTTTTGTGGAAGTTGAAGGGGAAATGATCATTGCAAGTTGATTTAGCAAAATCTATAAGAACTATAAGTTGACCAGTGATTCTTTTTATTTTTTTATTTTTATTTTTTTGGTACCAAGGATCGAACTCTGGTCCTTGCGCTTGCACAGCAGGCGGCGAAACCACTGAGCTAAATCCCCGGCCCGACCAGTGATTTTTAAGACTGACTTAAATCAATGTTTTTCCATCACAACAGAAAAAAAAAAAGTCTATATTTTAGGGGAAAGAACAGTAAATTCTGTATGCTATATATAAAATGTTCAAATGAAATCTTTGACAATTAAGAAAAATATTGTGAACAAATATCAAGAAAAGATGTTTTTGAGTAGCCGGGTAAAAAGTCTACAAATAAGAGGGAAGCTGTCTGTTGTGATGAACAGTGACCAACTTTCATGGTATTTGCAAAAATGTTCCTGTGGAGGTAGTAAATTGGCTCTTGGGGTGACTGGATGCTCTCTTGTAGGTTGAACTCCATGATGGGGCTCTCATCCATTGTTCATTCAGAAACCACAGCCAAAAGAGAGGCTCCAGGTTTCAGTAAGAGATAAATTATTTTGTGAAGAATGATGATGAAGAGTTAATCTTGTACAAAAATAAATCAGAATCATTCTGATGAAAATATGAATATAATGAACATTTCCGAGAAGATGACAAACATTTTGTATGATTAAAGTCCAAGGATTTACTCAGACATTTCTGGGAAACTTGAAGTTCTGATAAAGAAAATAGTAATTGAATTTTTTTAAGGGGAAATAAGGTGTCTTGGATAACACAGAAACAAAGGAGAAAGTATATAATGGAAAACTATTCTCCCTTAATCTGCTGACTAGTCCTGATGTATGTCATCATTATACCTCCCATTACCCACAGAAAGAATAATATTAAGGACATGGACTCCAAATTTAGTGGTGTGTCTGGAGGTCTTGAGGATCTGACTCTTGCTTCAATGGTGTTTGGACAGAACAGGCCCAGAACTCCCTCTTTTTCACCCTTCATCCACCTTCCAGTTACAAATTTCAGGACCATCATCTCACCTATCTCCTGCTTCGAGGATCAGCCAATACCATTCTTTTCTAGGTAGCTCCTTACTGCTGATCAGCTATGATTTCTCAGATTCATCAGAATTATTCCACCAAGGTGGAGGTTGCCATCAACCACCTAGTGAATCTGCACCTGCAGGCCTCCTACACCTACCTCTCTCTAGGTTACTACTTCGACCATGACAATGTGGCTCTCTGGTGGGCATGGGCCATTTCTTCCAAGACCTGGCCAAGGAAAAAGGAAAGGGCACCGAGTATCTCCTGAAGATGCAAAACCAGCTCGGAGGCTGAGTGCTCTTCCAAGATGTGCAGAAATCTTCTGAAGATTAGTGGGATAAAACCCTGGATGCCATGGAAGCTGCCCTGGCCCTGGAGAAGAACTTGAACCAAGCTCTTCTGGATGCCTTGGGCTCTGCCAAGACAGACCCCAATCTGTGTGATTTTTTAGAGAGCCACTTTCTAGATGAAGTGAAGCTCATCAAGAAGATAGGAGACCACCTCACTAAGTTCCACAGGCTTGTGGGCCCCCAGGCTGGTTGGACAACTAGCTCTTCGAAAGGATCACTCTCAAGCACAACTAGGAGGCCCCAGAGTATGGTGGCCTCTGAGGGCCTCCTGCTCACCTGGCATCAGGGCTTTGTCCTAAACCTCTCCCTTCAACCACTAGGCAGCTTTTTCACCTCTCTGGAGCCCCCTCTCAAGTCTTGGACCAAAAGAAAATAAAGCCTTTTGCAGAAAAAAAAAAAAATAGCATAGATTTAAATTTCAGCTCGGCCTCACATAAGCTGTGTGATATTATGCAAGTCCTTTAACTTCTCTATGCCTTAATTTCCTCACCTGAAAGAGGTTGTACATAGCCACATCAAAAGCCACTGTCATGATTAAATGAGTATATTATGAGAATCTAGAACAATTGCAGGTAAATATAAGTGTTTTGGCAATATTGCTCAAGTTACTCAAATGAACCCAGTACATTCCAGTCAGTTCTAACTCTTTCAGATACTTCAAAGCCTGAAATCACTTCTTTAATTGATACAGTGGTGCTCTGGTTCATGAACTTAATTTGTTCTACAATTTCTGAAAAGATGGCCACCTTTGTATTTGTGTGGGAAAGATGACTGTGGTTGTGTTTGTCACCCAATACAGTTTGCAAACAGAAAATTTTGCCAAATGCTTCTGTTTGCAAACCAAATTGTTTGCAAACAAAAGCATTCGCGTCCTGAGGTTCCATGGTATTCTAATCATCAATCTACACTCTCACAATTTCAGGCTTCAGGCTTCTAGAATGGATTAATTCCCTAACCTGTACCATCTCCATTATCCACTCTTCCATACAACAGATAGTATAATTACTCCTTTAGTGAAATAAATATGAACTCCTTCCTCTTCTCTTTATATCCACCTGGGTCAGCCTTTCTTGCCACCCTTTCTTCCACTGCAGAAGTAGCACCGTACTCATTGCCAGATGAAATGCCCTTTGCTTCTTAATCTATCCCTCTAATTATAAACACTCCTATTTATTCTAGAATTTCATCTCTTCAACTTCTCTTTTCCCAGCACTTTGTTTCTATCTTTTCCATGGATTTATTCATCCTGGTCACAAATATGAATAAATTTTCTATCTTAGAAAACCTGTGTTTATCATCCTATTTAATAGTCTTCATTTCTCCACCTACTGCCTACATTTTTTATCACTCTACCTGATGTCAACTCCACCAAAACAGGTTCTTTTATAGGTTACTGATAATTTCCTAACAGTCTGTTACAAATGCTTTATCCCTTGGTGACTAATGTCAGCATCTGAAATATGTTTCTATTCCTTTTTTAAATTCCCTCTTAACTTGACTTATATAATGTTCTTCAAAATCTTCACTATGTTGTTTCTTCTATTGTTTAGTGAAGTACTTCAAAAATAAATTCTTTCTTTAAAAGAGGGTTTGAGGGTATAGCTCACTGATAAAGTACTTGCCTACCATGCACAAGACTCTGGGTTCAATTCCCAGCACTTCCAAAGGAAAAAATAAATTAAATTAAATTAATTAAAAATAGTATCATGAACACTACTACCATTACCCAGACTCATCAGATCTTAATATTTTGTTGTATTGCATTAGATATTTATGTTTCAGAAATAAAAGATTTCAGAGATATTAAAAGACCATACAAAAATTATTCTGGGCCAGGTGTGGTGCATATCTGTAATCCCAGCATTTGAGAGACTGAGGCAGGAGGATCACTGAGTTCAAGGCCAGCCTGAACTGCATAGTGAGACCCTGTCTCAAAAAAAAAAATTAAACCAAATAAGAATTATTCTGAATCTGTGGTCAACTATGTCCTTACATTTTATTTATTCATTTATTTGTTCAGCAACCACCTATTGGGGCCAGGGATTTAGCTCAGTGTGCCACTGCCTGCCTTGCAAGCACAAGGTCCTGAGTTCAATCCCCAGTACCAAAAAAAACAAACAAACAAACCCACAACCACCTATTGAGTGCCTATTATATATCAAATACTGTTCCAGGCACTGGAAATCTTAAAATAAAAGAGAAAAAAATCTCTACTTCATGGAGCTAATTAGGAAAGACAAAAGAAGTTAAAAGGTAAAATACATAGTACATTAAGCACTGATGAATACTAAAAAGAAAACTATTAAAGTAAATAAAGAGGTAATTTGTACTGAAGGGGTTGAAATTTTGGCTGATTAAAGTTTAGATAGGGTAATTACATAAACACTATGTATGTCAATTTTCATAAGCAATGCACATTGTTTTACTTTTTTGTTATTGTTTTTGCAGTGCTAGGGATGGAACCCAGGACCTCCTGTATGCTAGGCAACCAGTCCACCACTGACCTACATTCCAACCCGTTTCACATGTTTAATTTTATATACTTATTACCATGTTGTACATATCTTTAGTCTAAACTTATGCTTTTTGCTC